TCTGTCTGGTGTCACAAAGACACTTGCATGACCTTTCTAGGCTATTTCTGCTGATTGTCTTTGACTTAGTCCTGAAGCGGCAACTTCCGTGTCTTTTGTGATGCCATCCTCGAGCAACGGTGTGTCAAAATCTAATCAAAGCACCTTTGGATTTTCTCCACTTGTGCCATGTTTCTGAGAGGAGTGCCTTCTAAAAACCTGTTGGAAACAAAAAAGAACACCACTCCCCCAACACCCCCAAGAAAACCAAAAAAAACCCAAACGGCAACAAAAAAACCCCTTTCTGCCTCCTTTTTCTGAAGTATGAGGCATGGAAAAAATACCTGTAACTTTTGTTTCTGTATTTGTTTTGTGTGATAATTGTGTTCTTTCGGTGCGGACATGCAGGAGAGGAGCTGTTCTGAAAATGTGTGGTTGAGACAAAGCTGGAAATTAGTAATGCTGGCTAAGTGATACAAGTGTATACGATGACTATTTGTGTGCTTTCTAAAAGAAGCAGTGTCTGTGTTCCTAGCATATTTTTTTTTTGCTCAGCTGTTCATCTAGCTAAATGTCTTGTTCAACTCTTAATGCGTGGCAAACTTAATAAGCTACTAATTATGTATCTGATTTGGCTTGGAACGGATACAATCCGAACAAGAAAAAGGGGCAGGATGCCTGGAACCTGTCACAGAGGTGTTTGCTACTCCGTGAATTGTTTTTCTTATTCTTAGTCAGTGTTGTTTTTGCATGAGTGGTAGAACAGAATTAAACCAAACTAGGAAGCGGTGCTTTAAAAATATCGGATACGGCATGTTTTCTACAAATAAGAAACAACGTCTTGTCTTTTACAGTAATATCTCCTGAGACCAGTGTATCAGTCTTCAGCTGGCAAGTGAATACGTATGGTGAGGGAAAGCCATCTACTTACTTGGGTGTATTTGACATTAACCGCTGGTATCACGCTCAAATGCCAGATTCACTGAGGTAGATTTTTCTTAGCTTCTTTTCAGTGTCCCCCCAGATAATTCATCTGAAAGTTGGCATTTAGCTTATGCACTTGTTTTCTTTAAGGCCGGAAGAACTCCTTCACGACTGCCCCTATTTTGCGCTGTGGTCACTGGATACTGGACTAAGTATGACTTCTCCAAGCCTCTTTTGGATATTCGAGTACGTGAGCAGAGTCTCTGTCGCGGAGTGCCTCCTTCCTATCCACCACCTGATCAGTTTTTTAATCCAAGCTCCTATAATTTTGGTAGGTATTTCACTGCTTTTTATAGTGATAAGCTCAAACTGAGGTCAGATGACATGAAATAGTTCTCTTGTTCTCTGTCACTCGAAAACCAAACCCAAACCCCCAAACCCCCAGCTCCCACAAACCCAACTCAAATTACGTTGCACTAAGGTGGGATTTAAAATTGTGAAACACATCCGAGAGTGTGCTGAGTTTTGGGGTTTGGTGCTTTTATGATAGAGCCTGCGAAGAGGTGATGGTTATAAAATGAAATGACTTTGAACTGAAGCTCAAAGCACAGCACACCTCGATTGCGCTAGAGATGAAGTTCTAGACGCAGTAATTATTTTTTTAAAAAGTCTGTAAGTGATCTGGTGAGGAAGATGGGCACTGAGATCTGTCTTTCCAGATACTGCTGTTTAAAAACTGTAAACTGGTCATAACGTAACTGTGAGCGTATGGAAGCTTGTCAAATGTTGGTTGTTTCTGCAGATGGTACGTGCTTGCTGAACTCCGGAGTTGTCCATATGACTTGCACCAGCTTCCAGAAGGAGGTGATCATTTACCGAATCTTTATTGAGAATGTGAAGAGATGGACCTTTTCCAAGTTTTCTCCTGCACTGCTTTCACTGTCAGAGATGGGTTTATGCTCGTCCTGCCCATCCACACGCATAATTGCAGTTGTACCCTGCCAGTTTTATGCAAATGAGAATGTTTTCAGTCTGCTCTTGGAACTGTAAAGTGAGCACTGCCTCCTGATGAAGCGCGATCCGAGACTGAACGTCTAGAAGGGAATACAACGTTGCTCTAGGAGCAAGAACAAAAGCGTTCCTAAGAAGAAAGCTTTTCTTCTTATTACCCTTCAGTCACTGCCTGTGTAGTCTTGAGTTAGGGTTTTGATCCCTGGTCTGCTTGAAAAGGACAGAATGGAGAAAGTGAAAAACTGTGTTTGAGAAGTATTTGAGAAGAAATTTTTTTTTTTTTTTCCCGACCCTGGCCAAATTCTAACTTCCAAGCCAGGGCACAGCTTGTGGCAAATAATTTTGAATTAAGTTTCAGCTCACTACGTATTGCCAACATAAATCAGCCTCTGCACAGAGAGGCTTATAAAGGCTCATGCAAAGCGTGATTTGAAGTTGTGTGTTAGTTTTAGCTTGTACAGAAAGTAATTTGTGTCAGTGTTCAGGGAAAAAGAAAGGCCCGTGTTTTGACAGAGAAGGGAGAAAATACTTAAGCATTGCAAGGGCCAATATTTTGTTTTACAGGATTTTTTTTTAGAAACTGTAACTGCTAGTTTGGCTGCCGTCCTTACGACTCTACGTAGTAATGCTTACTCGGATTGCTAACGCAAAGCATATTGCTGATGTGAGCTTCCCGAGAGTCTAAGTGAACAATTATCCTATTTCTCTTAGTGGTTAGCCAGACCCTTAGTGACTGAATAATACTGCTGTCTTAATCTGTAGTTTTTGATTGACGTTTCAGACCTTGAATTTTTTGAAGAAATCTGGTCCTTTAATACGTGAAGCCATTCATGATAGCTGCAAGAGGTGTCTTGCAGCTGGCTGCTGTCTCCCAGGCCAGCTGATGTCCAGCCACCCAGTTTGGGTCAGGTGTGCCTATGAGGGAATCAAGGGGGAAATACATCCATCTTGCCTGACAGGGCTGTAGAGGCACAAGACGTGGTAACCTGATGTTCCCATTATTTGCGAGTTGCACTGAGCTGCAGGTGTTGGCTTTAGTCAGCAGAAGTGATAGTACTCTTAGATCCAAACTAGGGAGTTTGACGGGGAACAGCCCTGATAGGCCTGTCTCTAGAGACCCGTCTATAAATTCTGTGCCACAGATACGCGCAAGGAAGCGTGCAGGCCGTGCTGGTCATGCACAACACAAAGCATCTTTGCCTCAGACCCCCGTGGCCCCCGTCGGTGTCTCCGAGCGTTGGGCTCAGTGCAGCAGCTGACGACGGGGGGGTCTCACTGGGATGCGAGCTGTTGCAAACATCAGCTGGCTGCACCAGACATGATCACCTGCTCCCAAGGAAGTGGGCTGTGGTAAACAATTACTGCTGCCAGCTCCAGTACAGCCGGCACGTCGTCCCGTAACTTCATGAATACTTGCTGCTGTTCTGTGCAGTGCACTCGCTGTAATTAGTTAACTGCTTTACGCTTTTTATTCATCAGAATGATCGCCATCCTCGCTTCAGAGAGGGGGCATGTGCCAGAAAGTCTGAATTACGCCCATATCGGAAGATCCTTCCTAGAGTTCAAAGGCAGCTGGCTGCAGAGAGAGCCAGGCCTTACCATTTGCCTTCGTCGGCCTTAAGAGGAGGTAATTTTTAGCGCGGGGAATACAGCGGTCAAGAAACGCTCACTTTGATAACACAAGGCTGATAGGTTTTCCCTTGTGCTTTACAGTTGCGAGACCAAAGCCAGTATCAAGAGCAACAAAACCAGCCAATCAGGATATTTGGGTATCATAGCAACTTTCATGAGTAATGTGTTATCCAGAATTGGAGCAGCATGGGCAGGAAATGAGCAGAAAACCTTTTCCTCACGATATGATAGGTAAGCAGCCTTTTCACAAAGTTCAGTTTTGAGCTACGTGTGTGGAGAGGAATAGCGAAAAATCCATTTGGATTATGTTAGTATTCTGGAAGGAAGGTGTACCTGAATAAACTTTGATTGGCTTTTTTGTAATCAGTTCATCCAAAGTAATATTTGGAGAGAGTTTTTCGCTATGATAATCTTATTTAGGCCAAGACCTATACTGACACGATGGTAAATGTGTTTTCAAGAATTTAAGACAGCTGAAACTAGAACTGTGGTTGCCACCAAGCTCTCGGTGTACTGCTTTTGAGACACTTGGTTATGTGGCCAAACAGGGATCTTTGACCGCTTCCTGCCCAGTGTCTGCTTCGTTTCTGCCTTTCCTTCTTAACATCGGGCGGAATTGTAACGAGCGGAAAAGAGGCTGGTGGTTGTCAGATGATTTTCCTTCAGGGGCGATGGTCAAATAAACCTGAATTCCGGTATGTTTGGACTTCAGGGGAGTGAAAGTCAGTTACCTTTCCCTGTTTGTTCTAGTGCTAGAGTTGCAGAGCCACCAGCCGTACCTCGTCCTCTCCCTGAGGCAGAGTTGCGCAGTGCGGTTGTTGGGACACTGGTCACAAGATTTTCACAAAAATCTTCCAGTATAGTAGATCTAGAGAGTGAATATTTCAAAATGGTGTTGCTTTTCTTATGTCTGTGTATATGTATGTGTGTGTGTGCGTGTGTATATACTTTCTGTGTTTGCAAAGTGCTCTGTTTGCATTTAGTTTTGTATCTGGTAAGAAAAGGGCAATTTAAGGACACAACTCGGTGGAGAATTTGAAGTGGTCCCAGCATTGAAATGCAGGTGAATTTCTCTTTGACGTGAGAATTACATCCCTTGGTCAACTTAAAATGGGATTTCTCTTCCCTAAGAGGCAGTGATTTAGGAAATCAAGCTTGAAATGTACAGAAGTAACTAAGAAAAAAGGAAAAGGCGGTAACTTGTGCGTGGACCTGATACACCCCCCAACAGTGAGGGCTCACCTCTATTTCTCGTTCCTTGAATGTCTTTCTTACATCTCATCTCAAGATTTCTTGAACGCCGCGTGATTTTCTTCCTTAGTTTATTTATGTTCATATTTTAAATTGGGTATCTTAACAGGTTGCTGGGTTTGGTGGATCGTCCTGTCCCTTCATGTTCTGCAGCACAGGGTGGTAGCTGGCAGTCACCATTGTTACAAAAGAATTCTTCAAGACACCAGAGTTCAATTTGCTACAGACTCCTCTTGTGGTTAAGGTTTGTATTTGGAAAAACAGTAAGAACCGACCAAACAAATGGCCTGTAAACTTTGTTTAAAATGAAACCACCAAAATGTTTGACACAAACACTGCTGGATTCAAACTGTGTCAAATTTTCAGAGCATGTGGGGTGGTTGTACATACAGTCCTTTTGGAAGCAGGAAGTTGGGAAAAGCCTTGAAGAGGGCAAGTTTAGTTCTAAGCTAATTGCAGTAGGCACGTTGTCCCATAACTTCATGAACTGTGCAGAACAAGGAAGTTAAAATTGGGCTTTTCAATATGCTTAGACCCTTAAAGATGCAGTTTGTGGCTTAACCATCTCGTTATGCAAGCGCTCAGCAGCTCTGCACAGTTTGACTTGCATAGCCACCAGCAAGAACGTGCATGCTTCAGTTTCTTAATCCGGTGAAGTGAGTGACAGCTAAGTGATGTCCTTAAGGGATGTCAGTCTCTGTCCAACTCAGTGATGGCTTTTGGCAGCAATTGTACTGGTTAATTGTTTGCGCTAAACTGTGTGTCCATTCAGTGCCTTCAAACTCTTCTCCTGTAAGGAAGTAACAACATTTGACCTGTCTTCTTGGTGCGGGTCTCTTTGCCTTTGCCTGCCTGAACAAAGTAGTTGTGATCTCTCTGAATGACAGCCTTTTCTTCTCATTGAATATTGTCCCTCTCATTGAGCTAGTTTCCTTCTCCCCTTTCAAACCCTTTCCATACTGTAAATTCTTCTTCCGAGCCGAGGTAAGAAGACCTGGATGCTTCTAGGTGAAGATGTGTAGGTATTTGTACAGCAGCCCCTTAATTTGGTGTAGCGCGCGGATGGATTCATCAGTGAAGCAATAAGCTCTCGCTGTTGCTTTGCTGATTGCCATTTTGCATGGCAGTGTGTTCAGTGGCAGTAGCTGGGGTAACATTTGAAGTGGTACGCCTTTTAGAGAGCAGAGTAGGAATTGCAAAAATTACTGGGAAGGGAGAGAACAATGCAGAAATCAAGACGCCATATCCTTGTTTCCTCAGGAAATTAATTTGAAAAATCACATTTTAGTTGGTGTTGGTGGGAAAACCAACCAACCAACCAACCAACCAACATACCAAAAGAAAACCAAAAATCCACAAGATCCTGGGGGTTTTATCGTTAAGATTTTCATACCTTTGGAGAAAGAGCAGTGCAGAGGTTAACTTTGTCCTCCCTGCCTCTGCAACCTCAGTCTGTAATGGAAACTAATGCTTTGGAGAAGTGGAGTCTTCCGTTTTGAAGGTACGAATTGGTTTTCAATTAAATATTTTTCTTTCTTTTCATAGAAAGCTGAAGTTTTGGCCACATCTGCTTCTGGTTTTCCCGGCTTTACTCCTCGGTCTATCCTCAGATCCAGCGTTCGCAGCACACCCCAGGCAACTCCCTCTGCGTTTCCAGGAGAATCAGTTACTCCTCCTCCCAGAGCAAACAAACACAGAGTGTCTTTCAAGGAAGGGAACTCAGATGAGAAATGGACTGTTGGGGTAAGCTGGGCTGTAGTTAGTGGATTTTACAGTCAAGGCTTTCTAGTCTGTTATTTGGTTTAGAATTTTGGACAGTTTGCCAGAACTCCTTATATTGAGACCTGGACCTGCGATCAAGAATGGCAGGCTTGAATTTGGTCCAAAAAGGTTCCGCTAGACCTTCTGTAACATCACCCGTCGGCAGGCAGATATTCAAAATGCATGTCGGTGTCCTTGGCGGTTTCGCTCAAGCGTTGTTAGGAGCTGTGGTTGTTCCAAATTGCTAGCTCAGCTTCCCGCGATGCCTTTTCAAGCGGTGGTATGGCAGGAAGGTGAGGAATACAGCTCGAGCCATTGTTTGGGCTTGTTAAGGTTTGTGCATCTGAAAGCAGCAGAAGTCATGAGCTGCATTTACTTTTGATCTCTCTTTCTGCGAGGCTGAGTTTGCTTAACTTACGGTAAAAACAGACTCGGGATGAAGAGAGCTGGTCTGTCGCCTGTTCTCTAGCCCCAAAGTTCTGGGGTTTGCTTCTTGCCTCGCACCGGGCGTAGCATTCATACTGCTGTCAAACGAAGTTGGTCCACCTGCTAGTTGCCCCCTTCTACTCGGCCTTTGGTCCCGTCGGTTGGATTCCCTGACCCAGCTCGTTAGGCAGTTGCGGAAGGACCGTGCCAAGACCAGGGGCAGAACAGGGCCGTGTGCTCGTGTCTACATGTCGGAGCTCTCCGCAGGGTACAAACAAGTTGTCAGGATCTGGTTTTGTTACACCTCTTACTGCCTGTTGTAAGGGGTTCCTCAAAGGTAACAAGAGGCGTATCGGAATAAGGTTCTGCTGAGTGCCAGAACTGTTTTAACTGACAGTTGTCGGTTCTGTTACTGATCTAGTCTGCCTTCCACTTTGCTAAAATTACCGGGTGAAGTTGGCGTGTGCTGATGGGTAGAACTTGCTGCTGTTCTGTGCAGTGCACTCGCTGTAATTAGTTAACTGCTTTACGCTTTTTATTCATCAGAATGATCGCCATCCTCGCTTCAGAGAGGGGGCATGTGCCAGAAAGTCTGAATTACGCCCATATCGGAAGATCCTTCCTAGAGTTCAAAGGCAGCTGGCTGCAGAGAGAGCCAGGCCTTACCATTTGCCTTTGTCGGCCTTAAGAGGAGGTAATTTTTAGCGCGGGGAATACAGCGGTCAAGAAACGCTCACTTTGATAACACAAGGCTGATAGGTTTTCCCTTGTGCTTTACAGTTGCGAGACCAAAGCCAGTATCAAGATCAACAAAACCAGCCAATCCAGGATATTGGGTATCATAGCAACTTTCATGAGTAATGTGTTATCCAGAATTGGAGCAGCAGGGCAGGAAATGAGCAGAAAACCATTTCCTCACGATATGATAGGTAAGCAGCCTTTTCACAAAGTTCAGTTTGAGCTACGTGTGTGGAGAGGAATAGCGAAAAATCCATTTGGATTATGTTAGTATTCTGGAAGGAAGGTGTACCTGAATAAACTTTGATTGGCTTTTTTGTAATCAGTTCATCCAAAGTAATATTTGGAGAGAGACTTTTTCGGCTATGATAATCTTATTAGGCCAAGACCTATACTGACGATGGAAATGTGTTTTCAAGAATTTAAGACAGCTGAAACTAGAACTGTGGTTGCCACCAAGCTCTCGGTGTACTGCTTTGAGACACTTGGTTATGTGGCCAAACAGGGATCTTTGACTGCTTCCTGCCCAGTGTCTGCTTCGTTTCTGCCTTTCCTTCTTAACATCGGGCGGAATTGTAACGAGCGGAAAAGAGGCTGGTGGTTGTCAGATGATTTTCCTTCAGGGGCGATGGTCAAATAAACCTGAATTCCGGTATGTTTGGACTTCAGGGGAGTGAAAGTCAGTTACCTTTCCCTGTTTGTTCTAGTGCTAGAGTTGCAGAGCCACCAGCCGTACCTCGTCCTCTCCCTGAGGCAGAGTTGCGCAGTGCGGTTGTTGGGACATGGTCACAAGATTTTCACAAAAATCTTCCAGGTATAGTAGATCTAGAGAGTGAATATTTCAAAATGGTGTTGCTTTTCTTATGTCTGTGTATATGTATGTTGTGTGTGCGTGTGTATATACTTTCTGTGTTTGCAAAGTGCTCTGTTTGCATTTAGTTTTGTATCTGGTAAAGAAAAGGGCAATTTAAGGACACAACTCGGTGGAGAATTTGAAGTGGTCCCAGCATTGAAATGCAGGTGAATTTCTCTTTGACGTGAGAATTACATCCCTTGGTCAACTTAAAATGGATTTCTCTTCCCTAAGAGGCAGTGATTTAGGAAATCAAGCTTGAAATGTACAGAAGTACTAGAAAAGGAAAAGGCGGTAACTTGTGCGTGGACCTGATACATCCCCCCAACAGTGAGGGCTCACCTCTATTTCTCGTTCCTTGAATGTCTTTCTTACATCTCATCTCAAGATTTCTTGAACGCCGCGTGATTTTCTTCCTTAGTTTATTTATGTTCAATTTTAAATTGGGTATCTTAACAGGTTGCTGGGTTTGGTGGATCGTCCTGTCCCTTCATGTTCTGCAGCACAGGGTGGTAGCTGGCAGTCACCATTGTTACAAAAGAATTCTTCAAGAGCACCAGAGTTCAATTTGCTACAGACTCCTCTTGTGGTTAAGGTTTGTATTTGGAAAAACAGTAAGAACCGACCAAACAAATGGCCTGTAAACTTTGTTTAAAATGAAACCACCAAAATGTTTGACACAAACACTGCTGGATTCAAACTGTGTCAAATTTTCAGAGCATGTGGGTGGTTGTACATACAGTCCTTTTGGAAGCAGGAAGTTGGGAAAAGCCTTGAAGAGGGCAAGTTAGTTCTAAGCTAATTGCAGTAGGCACGTTGTCCCATAACTTCATGAACTGTGCAGAACAAAGGAAGTTAAAATTGGGCTTTTCAATATGCTTAGACCCTTAAAGATGCAGTTTGTGGCTTAACCATCGTTATGCAAGCGCTCAGCAGCTCTGCACAGTTTGACTTGCATAGCCACCAGCAAGAACGTGCATGCTTCAGTTTCTTAATCCGGTGAGGTGAGTGACAGCTAAGTGATGTCCGTTAAGGATGTCAGTCTCTGTCCAACTCAGTGATGGCTTTTTGGCAGCAATTGTACTGGTTAATTGTTTGCGCTAAACTGTGTGTCCATTCAGTGCCTTCAAACTCTTCTCCTGTAAGGAAGTAAAACATTTGACCTGTCTTCTTGGTGCGGGTCTCTTTGCCTTTGCCTGCCTGAACAAAGTAGTTGTGATCTCTCTGAATGACAGCCTTTTGTCTTCTCATTGAATATTGTCCTCTCATTGAGCTAGTTTCCTTCTCCCCCTTTCAAACCCTTTCCATACTGTAAATTCTTCTTCCGAGCCGAGGTAAGAAGACCTGGATGCTTCTAGGTGAAGATGTGTAGGTATTTGTACAGCAGCCCCTTAATTTGGTGTAGCGCGCGGATGGATTCATCAGTGAAGCAATAAGCTCTCGCTGTTGCTTTGCTGATTGCCATTTTGCATGGCAGTGTGTTCAGTGGCAGTAGCTGGGTAACATTTGAAGTGGTACGCCTTTAGAGAGCAGAGTAGGAATTGCAAAAATTACTGGGAAGGAGAGAACAATGCAGAAATCAAGACGCCATATCCTTGTTTCCTCAGGAAATTAATTTGAAAAATCAATTTTAGTTGGTGTTGGTGGGAAAAACCAACCAACCAACCAACCAACCAACCAACATACCAAAAGAAAACCAAAAATCCACAAGATCCTGGGGGGTTTTATCGTTAAGATTTTCATACCTTTGGAGAAAGAGCAGTGCAGAGGTTAACTTTGTCCTCCCTGCCTCTGCAACCTCAGTCTGTAATGAAACTAATGCTTTGGAGAAGTGGAGTCTTCCGTTTTGAAGGTACGAATTGGTTTTCAATTAAATATTTTTCTTTCTTTTCATAAAGCTGAAGTTTTGGCCACATCTGCTTCTGGTTTTCCCGGCTTTACTCCTCGGTCTATCCTCAGATCCAGCGTTCGCAGCACACCCAGGCAACTCCCTCTGCGTTTCCAGGAGAATCAGTTACTCCTCCTCCCAGAGCAAACAAACACAGAGTGTCTTTCAAGGAAGGGAACTCAGATGAGAAATGGACTGTTGGGGTAAGCTGGGCTGTAGTTAGTGGATTTTACAGTCAAAGGCTTTCTAGTCTGTTATTTGGTTTAGAATTTTGGACAGTTTGCCAGAACTCCTTATATTGAGACCTGGACCTGCGATCAAGAAGCAGGCGGCTTGAATTTGGTCCAAAAAGGTTCCGCTAGACCTTCTGTAACATCACCGTCGGCAGGCAGATATTCAAAATGCATGTCGGTGTCCTTGGCGGTTTCGCTCAAGCGTTGTTAGGAGCTGTGGTTGTTCCAAATTGCTAGCTCAGCTTCCCGCGATGCCTTTTCAAGCGGTGGTATGGCAGGAAGGTGAGGAATACAGCTCGAGCCATTGTTTGGGCTTGTTAAGGTTTGTGCATCTGAAAGCAGCAGAAGTCATGAGCTGCATTTACTTTTGATCTCTCTTTCTGCGAGGCTGAGTTTGCTTAACTTACGGTAAAAACAGACTCGGGATGAAGAGAGCTGGTCTGTCGCCTGTTCTCTAGCCCCAAAGTTCTGGGGTTTGCTTCTTGCCTCGCACCGGGCGTAGCATTCATACTGCTGTCAAACGAAGTTGGTCCACCTGCTAGTTGCCCCCTTCTACTCGGCCTTTGGTCCGTCGTTGGACCTGACCCAGCTCGTTAGGCAGTTGCGGAAGGACCGTGCCAAGACCAGGGGCAGAACAGGCCGTGTGCTCGTGTCTACATGTCGGAGCTCTCCGCAGGGTACAAACAAGTTGTCAGGATCTGGTTTTGTTACACCTCTTACTGCCTGTTGTAAGGGTTCCTCAAAGGTAACAAGAGGCGTATCGGAATAAGGTTCTGCTGAGTGCCAGAACTGTTTTAACTGACAGTTGTCGGTTCTGTTACTGATCTAGTCTGCCTTCCACTTTGCTAAATTACCGGGTGAAGTTGGCGTGTGCTGATGGGTAGAACTTGCTGCTGTCTGTGCAGTGCACTCGCTGTAATTAGTTAACTGCTTTACGCTTTTTATTCATCGGAATGATCGCCATCCTCGCTTCAGAGAGGGGGCATGTGCCAGAAAGTCTGAATTACGCCCATATCGGAAGATCCTTCCTAGAGTTCAAAGGCAGCTGGCTGCAGAGAGAGCCAGGCCTTACCATTTGCCTTCGTCGGCCTTAAGGAGGTAATTTTTAGCGGGGGAATACAGCGGTCAAGAAACGCTCACTTTGATAACACAAGGCTGATAGGTTTTCTTGTGCTTTACAGTTGCGAGACCAAAGCCAGTATCAAGATCAACAAAACCAGCCAATTCAGGATATCTGGATATCATAGCAACTTTCATGAGTAATGTTATCCAGAATTGGAGCAGCATGGGCAGAAATGAGCAGAAAACCTTTTCCTCACGATATGATAGGTAAGCAGCTTTCACAAAGTTCAGTTTTGAGCTACGGTGTGGAGAGGAATAGCAAAAAATCCATTTGGATTATGTTAGTATTCTGGAAGGAAGGTGTACCTGAATAACTTTGATTGGCTTTTTTGTAATCAGTTCATCCAAAGTAATATTTGGAGAGAGACTTTTTCGGCTATGATAATCTTATTTAGGCCAAGACCTATACTGACACGATGGTAAATGTGTTTCAAGAATTTGACAGCTGAAACTAGAACTGTGGTTGCCACCAAGCTCTCGGTGTACTGCTTTTGAGACACTTGGTTATGGCCAAACAGGGATCTTTGACCGCTTCCTGCCCAGTGTCTGCTTCGTTTCTGCCTTTCCTTCTTACATCGGGCGGAATTGTAACGAGCGGAAAAGAGGCTGGTGGTTGTCAGATGATTTTCCTTCAGGGGCGATGGTCAAATAAACCTGAATTCCGGTATGTTTGGACTTCAGGGGAGTGAAAGTCAGTTACCTTTCCCTGTTTGTTCTAGTGCTAGAGTTGCAGAGCCACCAGCCTTACCTCGTCCTCTCCCTGAGGCAGAGTTGCAGTGTGGTTTTTGGGACACTAGGGACACAAATATCAGTATATGTTGGGGGGTTTTTTGTCTTCCCTTTACAAAAACCACCTGCATGTTATTGACTGTGAGGTTTTGTTGGCTTTTTTTTTTGTATTTTAATAAAGGTAACCAACGATGATATAGCACTGCCTGG